GGCGCCCAGGGGGGTTAGTAGGCGCGGCTGGGCCGGCCGGCTAGGCCAGGTGGGCTGGCCTGGTGTGAGCTGGGCCGCCTGGTCCAGTGGGGGAGGGGGTTTCCCCTTTTTTTTGTAAGTTTTGTTTTCTGTTTTTTTATAGTTCCTGTTTTCATTTTAGTTTTACTTTTTTTTTAGTTTTATAAAATATACCACTAGCCCCTAAATTAGTATTTATAAATACTCTATTGCCACATTAATTTCTCATACCTAAAAAATAGTTTAATGTTTTAATATTTATAAAATGCATTTAATTATTTGTTTAAGCCACCATTCTATTTAGTTTAGCGCTTTTAATTATTTTATAAAAATGTGTTCCTCCACCATAATTACCTATGCAATATTTGCCGCCTCTAGAACATTTTAATTTTAATGTTTGAAAACTTTACCATTTGACTTGATTTTGAATTTTGAATTCAAACGGGATTTGAATCATCGTGAGATCAACAACAGTAATCGTGGTGATGTGGCATCCTTAGTAGAGGGTTACTGTAGCTTAAATATCCGGGCGTCACAAACCGGGACCAATGGTGGTGGGCAAGGAGCGAGGCCCATTGGTCCCGGTTCATCCCACCAACCAGGACTAAAAGGTCCAGATGAACCGGGACCAATGGCCCACGTGGCCCGGCCGGCCCCCTGGGCTCACGAACCGGGACCAATGCCCACATTGGTCCCGGTTCTGAACTGAACCGGGACTAATGGGCTGATCCGGCCTGGACCAAAGCCCTGTTTTGTACTAGTGACGTGTCTGGTGCACCCGATCAATACATCGTGTGTTGCATAGCCAAAACCTAGTCTTCTACATGTATTAATCCTCTTTGAATATTTGCATGACATACTACTTGGCAGTGACAACACTGTCCACCAACTACACCTTTCATGCCTTTTATTGTAACATGGAAATTTTGATATGCTCCATCTTTCAAACAAAAAGTCCAATTTGTATTTTATTTGCACATTTGTGTGTGTTGTGACTCAGGTTTGAAACAATATCACTTTTGAACACATTTGGACAAGTTTTACAAACTTTGCTAAGTTTAAAATACTGAAACTTGATAAGTACTAAGGATAAATTCACCATGTTTCAAAATTAAAATTTAAATACAAAACCTAATAAAACTAAATCTTAAAGACTAAACGATAAATCCTCATCCCTAAACCCTAAGCCCTGAGCCCTAAACCGTAACACTTGGTGAAATTTGGTAAACACATAATATTTTGGCTATCAAGTTTGAATATTTGGAACTTGGAATTTTTTAGAAGTTGTCGAAATGTATGCAAGATGGGTCTTGTTTGAAAGATCTTGTCACATTGAACATAAATATGCAAACCAAAGTTAATTTAAACTTTTGGTTCAAAGGATATAGTAGATTAAAATTTGAAGATGAAATGAAAAGGTGCTGCCCTTGCTTGGCCTCGGCTAAGTCTAGCCGTTCTGCTGGACCCGCTCCTATGCTTCTTATTCTTGATGGGTTCCTGGACGAACACGAATGGTGGGGGACGGCGGCCGGACCAGGGAGCAGACAAGGGACTTGCGGGAGAGGGATTGTGTTAGGGATGGAGCTGATTTTGTGGAATGGAAGGGGTTGAGTGATTCACGCCCCTAATTTTTGCACATATAAAATAACAATTTGCAAGTTTTTTCTAGAATCGTCTATGAACAATCCAGTTATTAGAAAACTATCGGGTTCGATCAGTTTTTCTCGTTCAATAGAGTGAAATCGCCGCAGAGATCAACCAATCATTGAGGTCACCGGTTCCGGTCCAAATGCAGGTTTGGTCCGGGTTTCAGACTTTGGATGAAACATGCACTTCGCATGAGACGCAACAATTGCTTCATGCGTGATGCACCAGTGCCCTCCATGCAACTTTTACTTCACGTGTGGTGCCTATGTAATCCACGCTCGGTTCACGTACACAAATGACGAAGTACATGGGAAACTCTGAAAAATTAGGCTAAACGGCAAGAAGATAAATTGTTTGGAGAACTGTGACTTTCTTTCTCACAAGAAGAAAAAATAGAAAAGCTGAAAAGAAAATGAAAATTTGAGCCTGGTCCTCTTGCAAAAAGAAAAACAATAGATAAATACGTCCAGCACGAACAATTGTTTTAAAACATAATGGCCTACTATTTGGGGACCTTTTTTTAGAAAACAATAAATGCTCGCTTGTTAGATTTGGTGCTAAACAACAATTCTTAGAGTAACACGGTAAATTACAGATTATAAGTTACTTGAATTAGTGTGTAATTCACACGTACTATAAGGAGGAGAAGCCCAAACAATTAATCATCAAATTTTTTAGCAACATCATCACCAAGAAAATAAGAGATTAATCTTAACTCAGCAATTCTTCATGAACTACACCAGGCAAGGAGAAGATACCATACAACCACAATTGAAACTTTAACCACATATAGAATTTGAGAGGAACCAGCAAACATCAAATTTAGTTGCTCAATCACTTAAGATGTGCTTGAAATAAAATCGGAGATTAAATATGGCGTGCAATAAAAGACACCAAAAGATAATAAGGCATGTAGTATATTGTATATGTAACAATGAGGCAGATTATATAGTCGATTTCCAGAACTAGTTTGTGGTAGAAATAGAGAAGTAGTTCTTGCCTGGTTTGAGATATAGTATATGGATGGGTTAAAATATTAGCTAAAATAGTGTAATAATATTAGCTAAAATAGTGTAATAATCAAAAGGAAACATCAGTCACGTGCATAAGAATATATAGGATGTGACAATAGCCATAGGAATTCGTTTAGGCAATAAATGATAAAAACAGGATGACGCATAATTAAGAGTATAATTACTTGCCTGGTCAACAACTTAGCTAGCTCCCTGCGTGCCTCTATATAAGAAGAGGCAGTCAAATTCTTGTCGGACAAACGAATAAAGTGTTATATAAGGAGAACACATGATGGTGTTAGCCAAGAACAACAACCTTTGTTCTTGGGCTCCCATATTCGCAGTTGCTCTTCTAGTCATGGCTACTGTTTCTTTCTACGAAGGAGTGTCAGGTTAGTGCACTAAGTCATGCGTGCGTGCATATACTTTTAGATGGATTGTATGCTAATGGTCCTGCTCATTTGTGAATACAAATGTATGTATAGATGAAGTGATGAGCGATACGACTGGAGAGACATGTGTGGCTGACTATGAATGTGATCAGGCATCGTGTGGAGTTAGGTGCCAGATCATGAAGATGGACCCAAGTGCAGCCCGTTGTGAGATTAAGGCCGAATCAATTCCCTATTGTTGTTGCCACCCACAATTACATGCAGCGCATGACATATGAAAAGAATGCAACATGATCAAAGAACAAATATTGAAGCAATCTGTTGGCCACACATATATTGAAAAGAATGCAGTAGTTCTTCTGCATGCTTGGTCAAGAAGGATGATAAGAGGAGATTGTTGACCACACATATATTGAAGTAATCTGTTCTTTGACCATGTGTATTTTTCACAAATTGATATATCAATCAGATTTAAATATCCTATCCCGCACATGTTTTCTATGTTTGAATTACTTAATGGACCTGGTGATTTTCTTATGAAAAGGTAACTTTGCATGGAAAAGAGGTAGATAGAAACTAGAAAGTACCATGTAGTAAGTTGAGATAAAGTTTGTCAACCCAAAGATTGTTTGGTGGGGAGTGATACAATCGATCTCAATGTTAAGTATCAAGAGGGTTGGAATTAAATACTCTGGAAATAAACAATACTTTTGTGATGATCTACAATGGCTAGATCTCAATGTAGGATGGCTAGATTTATAGTGGGTTGTCAAAATTCCAACAGGTTTGGTAAAGGACAGGCTTAAAACCAGCGAACGTTCGTTGGGGAGAATGGCAAATGCGAACGTTTTTCATAGTAATTTCTGTTTCTTGAGCATGGTAAATTTAGTTAGCAAGCATGGTAAATCCAGCGCAGTTCAATTTTCTGTCAGGATTTGCCGTGCTTGCTAAAAGAAATTTCCATCCACGTGACAATTTAAATTGTCGTGATAAACATTCAATTTGTCATTCTGTCCAAGCAAACGTCAGCACGATAACATTCTTGTTTGGTAAATCCGTACGCACCTATGACGAATCAGGCCAACTTTGTTGGTTTTGTTTGAAAAGAAATCGGGAGTGTGAGCTTCTCGACTCAGGAAAAAAATACTGACCCACAAAATATAAGTTGGAATGAATAGGCTGGTGCGCTCATTTGGGCTGTGAATGGACGGCCTGGATTCACGGGTCAGTATCTGGTGATACCGCGGCTCAGGTGCTACCGTGATACGAGCTCCTGAGCCGTCGGATCCCAGATCGGATGGCATATAAGAGCTTTTGGATTTGCTAGACCTATGTGTAATTTTTGGACTTCTAGAAGGTTTTTCTGTAAATGTTATAAAGTTACTAGGAGCCGTCCGATCTGGAAATCCGACGGCTCAGGAGCCCGTATCACGGTAGCACCTGAGTCGCGATAGCACCAGATATTTTCCCAGTAGGAGGGAGCCCTACCGAGACGCTGCCGTACTTGCAAACAGATTTATTTTTTAGTTTTATAGTGGGAAACATACGGATGTAGTGAATCCAGGGGAAAAATATCTGGTGCTACCGCGACTCAGGTGCTACCGTGATACGGGCTCCTGAGCCGTCGGATTTCCAGATCGGATGGCTCCTAGTAACTTTATAACATTTACAGAAAAGCCTTCTAGAAGTCCAAAAATTACACATAGGTCTAGCAAATTCAAAAGCTCTTATATGCCATCCGATCTGGGATCTGACGGCTCAGGAGCTCATATCACGGTAGCACCTGAGCTGCGGTATCACCAGATACTGACCCCCTCCTACTCCCGACTCGGCAAGCCACCATGGCCTCCGCGCTGCTCCGGTGAGACCGTCTTCCATCGGCCTAGGTGGGCGTCGTTCCGCCCACCGCCTGTTGTCTGCGCCCCCTCGCATGCTCAGGTACGTACCAAGATTCATCCATGCTCCCCAACCAGTCAATTAGCAGCAGGAAGTATGTGACGGTCATTAGTTGTTATTATATGTGCTTGCAAGGTTGCCCGTGGAGGCGAGCTTCTGCCTGGAGTCGCTGCTGCCGCTTCACAGCGCCACCGCCGCCGCGCTGCTCAAGTCAATGCTCGCTGTGGTGCCCGGCCAAGGCATCGGCTGGATCATTGAAGATAATTGACACGACAGACAATTTATATCTTGTTCAAATGTCTAGCTAATTGGCGTATTATGTACACTTGGTGTGCCTATCGATTACGTAGAGGAAGCACTTCAACCATAGGTCTTCCTTTTGGCCATTTTAGGACCTGTTTGGTTCAAAACATACAAATGAAAAATTTATGTGTTTGGTTCAAAGGAATAACCGATAAATTATCCTTTGATCTCAGGGAGTGGTCTTAATACCGATGTCTTCCTTTAATCTTTGGGAGGTCGAACCTCTCTCGTGGGCTTGCTTAAGAATAAGAAAGAAGAATCTTATGGAAATAGCATGAAATAGGGTTTGATCCTATTCATGGGGATTCTGTAAATATCCCATTTCAAAAATCGAAACAATGTTTCGAAGGAAAAACATAGGAATTCTACAATCCACTTGAACCACTTTCTTAAATTTCTATGCACCTCGCAGCCCCTTTGTTTGCTCTGACCCACTCTATTATGCATCTCAAACTTTTCTCTTTGTATCTCAAGAACACACGCTCGTATGTACACACACTTCACCAAGGATAATACTAGCTTTGCCTTCTCTCCTGGTGAAAACACATATGGTACATTTTCCTCTTCTTATCATTAGCATAATCAAACTGATTACAATGCTTAAATAACACCTACACATCAACACATTCCCCAGCCACCATGCTTGGCCACATGGCGTGGTAACCAAACACTAAATACATGATCCTATCTCTCTCTCCTATAATCACTCCAGGATGCACAAGACTAGCCAACATGCTAACACACGCATGAAACTAGCACACCGATTCTTTCGGTCAACACTTCTACAGCTCGTTGATCTTGAGCACCTGCACTGATAATCATATCAATATTAGTGCTAACATAGTTTTCATTGCAAGAAGTCAGTTGGTAAGTATGCATGTTAGCTACCCTGTGCATGACATCCATCCATCTAACACTTATCATGTAAGGAATAAACAGGCCTGAAGCTGTTGGCACTGGAATTACTGAACAAATTGCAGCAAGGATGTGGCCCGAGGGATCTTCTCATAAGGTAGATCTGACCGACCAATTCGTGGGCAATCGGCTGGCGGTGCAGTGTCCTGTGCCACTGCTACCTACCTCATAAGTTCTCTCTCTCTCTCTCTCTCTCTCTCTCTCTCTCTCTCTCTCTCTC